CATTTGAGAGCATGATTTCCTGAAGAGACTTCTCTTTGCTAGATACCCATTTTGCTCACATAACTGGCCACATCTTTCTCAAAAGGCAGGCCTGGAATAGGCAAGAGAAGTGCATAGTGGGCGTGGGAAAGGGCTGCTATACTTTCTCCTCTGTTTCAATAAATGTGCATTTAAACTTTCTTTGACAGAAGTAGCTCTTTCCTGGTAGCCTAGGGATTACATCATTCAAAGGACAATAAAAACAAAAGCAAATACAAAATATCTAATAGCAGCATGCCCAAGAAATGTCTGGTGGGGGAAAGGGCAGTAGAATTAGTTCAGGTTTGGGCCAGCCATGTACACAGACACTTTTCTTTCTCTGTCTTACAATGTTTTATCCTGTGTTTACTTTTCCTAATTATTTTAGTGGTAATATTGGCTGCGAGGCTTGGAAGAAGGGACAAAAGAGATTGTTTACCCAGTTTTTGTGCTAGACTAATGATCTGCAAAGATTTTGGAGGGAAGAACGCTTGTTAAAAGGTCCCAGCATGAAATCCCTACCATATTGCACGGGAAAGCATAATTGCTCTTTTTGAAATCACAGCGGAGAACCCAACTTAGCTTAATGGCGATCATTTGGACCTCCAGAGGCTGTTGTGCTTGAAATGACCTCAGTACTTTCTCCTGTGGTCCAAATGAGACCCAAGCACTCTATGTGATCAACTTAACTTGCTCCATTAGCCCGGGGCAATAACCTGTAGAAACAGAGACAGCGACCTTGCCTGCAGAGCTGCCAGTGATTCCCTAGGGTGGCTGACTCAGGAGTTCTGGATCCTTATTCTTGCCACTCAATCAATCTTCCTACCTGAGTAAAGGAAAGGAAGTGAGGAGACTTATCTCTCTTACTGAGGGTCTTATCAGGTGCCAATGAAGGTGCCTAGTCCTACCTAGCCAGGGCATGCAATCTCCAACAACCCCTTGAGGTAAGTATGGCATTCTCACTTCACAAGTGAGGAAACTAAAGCTCAGATAGGTTAGGTGGGCCATATAGGGTCACTCTTTGAGTAGCTGGGCTGCCATAAGGTCTTCAGACTTCCTGATCTCAGAGCTCACTTTACTGTGAAGAGCCCCCAATCAGAATGGATGACTATTCTGAAGTTGACTTTCAGAAATGCCAGGGAAAACACAACCACATGCTGCTGGTCTCCTTTAGACAAGATTAGTAGTATTAGGTCATTAAATATGAAATGTCTGATTTTGAATGAAAAGTGTAGTTTATTATATCTCAAACAAGAAACAGTACAATTAATCAAAGTAGGAGCCTAAACTATCCGCACAATTGTGCCGTCTTAACAGTAGCTTGCTTATGCCAGCAGTGAAGAAGCCTGGAGAGCAAGTAGCGGTGAAATCATGAAAGGCGTTTTCCACAACTTGTTGAGAATTGAATATTTTTCCTTGCAAGAAGTGGTCCAAAGCCTGGAAGAAGTGGTAGTTGGTGCAAGGTCTGGCGAATATGGTGGATGACAGAGAATTTCCATGTCCAACTTCTGTAGTTTGAGTGGTGTTGTTTTTTGCAACATGTGGTCTTGCAAGAAGACTGGCCTGTCTCTATTGACCAGTGTTGCCTGCTTATTTGCAAACATCCTCATCATTGCATCCAATTAGTTGCAGTAGACATCCACTGGAATCGACTGACTAGGTTCCACGAAGTTGTAGGGGATGATACCAGCCCTGGAAAACCAAATAGACACCATTAGCTTTTTTTGGATGACTATTTGATTTTGGACTATGTTTTGGCACTTCATCTTTATCCAACCACTGTGTCCAATGCTTGCAATTGTCAAAAAGAATCTATTTTTCCTCACATGTAACAATATGGTGTAGAAATGGTTTGCCTTTATATTGTGACAGCAAAGAAAGGCAAGCTTCCAGACGATTTCTCTTCTGACGCTCATTTAATTCACATGATACCCATCTACCCAGCTTCTTTACATTGCCCATTTGTTTCAAATGGTTCAATATTGTTAGAATAGTAATGTCAAACCTTGCTGTTAATTCATGCGAAGGGTGAGATGGATTCAATTCCACTACAGCTTTCAGCTCATTAACCACCTTGGTCTCAGGTCACCCACATGGCTCATTTTCAATATTAAAATCACCAGAATGGAACTTCTCAAATGATTGACCTACTGTGTGTTCATTAGCCACATCCTTCCCAAACAATTTGTTGATATTTTGAGCTGTCTGCACTGAATTGGTTCCACGACAGAACTCATATTAAAAAATAACACGAATTTTTCACTTACCTATGGTTTCACAAAAATTGCTCTAAAAAAAAAATTGAAAGATAATCACAAGCCAAAATGTGCATTTGAAAGAATGAGGATGTACCACCAAAAAAAAAGAACAAAATAAAAACAAGAAGTGTCAAAGTGAAATATCAGACATACCAACTGTTAAACTTAGCACTTAAGGAAATCAGACATTCCATACTTAATAACCCAATAATAGCTTTTACTTTCTTTGTGACCAAAATCACTGCTAAAAACATTTTCTCTGCCAGGTCAACACGGTTTTCTCCTCATGTGCATTTTCCATCATTGCTCTGCACTTTCCTGCACCTTCATCATATTTTCCCACTTTTTAATGATACTTCAGAAGAAAAGAAATCAAATGCACTTTGAAGAAGATATTTGACATTTCTGTAAAAGTAAAAATTGGGGAAAGTCTATAGTTATTCTTGGGCATGCTAATCACTCCGGCAAAGTAATTATTTCTATTCATGTGAACAAGTACTATATGATGAGAATCTAAAAAGTTATTTTCCCCAAATTAGTTTGAAATTCAAATGTCAAGACTTGATCAAGCTACAGAAGAGTAGGGCTTTCGTAGGAACAAACCCTCTCCATGAATTTCTACAGTCGAAGAGTTCCTTCATCAACCAGCAGGTCACATGTGTCCTCTTTCCCCCTTCTCCAACCACCACCTCTAGCAGGGGACTTGATGCTTTATTAAGGTGCTGCTCTTTCCTTAACCTGCCTTCAATGTGAAAACCCACCTCCTCCTCACTTCTACTTTCCCAAGTTCCATATTCCTCTGCTGACTCTTCACTGAACACCACACATGTACCCTCATTGATACTGAGTATGATTTTACTGAGGAAGTGACTGATGGGAGGTGAATTTAAGGAACTGAAGAAAAGGGTAAGAAGGCTCCACACATGAAACATCGAACTGGTGCCTGGCATGGTGCCAGGTGTTAAGCAACCATCTCATTTAATTAGCATAATATAATGGACATTATTCCTCATTTCCATTGAAGATTGAAGCTGAGATAATAGTTTTATCTACTGTGTACTGAGCATACTCTTAACACAAAACCTCGTGGCCTACATGACTTGACCATCTCTCTTTCTCCAGCCTTCTTGCTGGCCTCTGGCATCCAATGATCCATTTTAGGGGCATCCTGCCTGGTCATGGGACATGACCTTCTTTTCCCACATTATAGCCTTGGCATTTGCAATTGCCAAAGCCTGGAAAATTCCATCCTAAAGTTGGTCTCACCTAATTCTTCACGATGATCTCTTGAGAGATAAAAGAGGAGGAGCTCATTTCTCATTCCTTACATCCCCGCACCCTACTTAATTTGCTCTGTAACCACAATAGAAATCTGTTGTTAAGGAAGACATTTGCTCATGTGTCATCCATATTCCTTACCACACTGTAAGCTCCAAGAGGACAGAAGTCTTCTTTGTCTTATTCCCCCAAATCCTCAGCACCTGCTATGTAACTTGACATATGATGATTACCCAGTACCACACTCTTGAATGAATGAATGAACTGAATGAATGAATGAGCCAAGAACTCTACTAGATGCTTTCAATAAGTAATCTCCAAAATCACCTCCCTTATACCCCACTCAGTATGCTGTACTCTCAATTCTGGAAGCAAGTTGCTTCTCTGTGCCTCAGTGTTCTTGAAAGGAAAGTTTCTTTCAACCCTGAAATCCTATGTTATTAAGAAATTGTACTGCATTTGAGTCTATGGTTCCACTTCCTGAAAATAAATTT